AAGAAAACATAAGAGCTGTGTCTAACTAATTGTACATACGTTTATATACATATATATATATATCTGCACTAACTACTCTTTTTGCTATACCAATTACCCGATTATATTACACGTAACCCTAGTAGAAAAAGAATTGAGTGAATGCGTATGTGTAGCTTACTATGAACGTGCCATTCATTATAAATAATTCAAACTACGTTAAGTATGTATGTATATACGAGGTTTAAATAAATTAATAAAAACATTTTTTTGCATTGAAATATTTAAAAAAAGTTAATTTGATTTTTCTATTTTCCATTTAAAATAATACCACGTGCTCAAGTTGTGAAGGGTTGTTTTTCAATAATCTCAAAAATGAAATTGTGTTGCTAAAAAAATTTTATTAAATTTACATATTTTGACTTTTACAACACGTTCATTTTTCGTATATATGTTCCGATATTTAATTATAATATTCACGCTAGCGTATAACTTATTCGGATGGTTTAATAAATCAGTAGCGCTCAATCCTTTCCAGAAGCGGCAACAACTTATTTTTGTTCAAAGATTCGGCACCTATTTTACATTTGTTTTTAAAATGAAGTATTATTAATATACAATCGATAACCAGAAAATAGAGATATCTAATATCCCAGTGATGGCCACGTGTTAATTTCGTGAATAGCGAATATTAAATATGTCAATATAGAATAGTTGGAAAATTCAAATAACCCTAGTCGTACCACTTCATATGAAGTTTTAAACAACCTCGGAAGATGTGAAAAATTTGATGTTTAATATATTTATATTTTGAAGTAGTTACGAACTAATCACAAATTAGTTTTAGCTTTTCATTACTTACAGTTCATTTTTGTGTGTACATATACTGTAAGTATCCACATATTTATTATTCTCTGTGAATTCATACACCAATGGAGAAGTACAATTAACTGTTATAATTATATAACACATTCAGTCTAAATATATAATGTTATTTTAAAAACAAACATGAAGAATCCAGGTATAATAAAAGTTAAGGATAAATTGTACTTAGTATTTTTTATAAAACAATTGAAATAACAATGCGTTACAGAAGTGTTTCAAATGAAGAAAATATAAGTGAATTAAAAATGTCATGAATTTTGCGAAATATTTCAACAATTTTTATTATTATTAACATTATTTCCAAACGAGTGGTTCTTGGTATGAAAGTAATGTTAGAAATTGATGGCTATGTATGTGTAAAACATTTTACTGTAAAATTTGATTCTGGGTTTGTAATATCAATAATCCTCAAATTTGGTAAACTAGGTGAAGAAAAATCTGCTTAAAAACTATGGAATTGTGAAGCTGGAAAAAACCTTTAAGATGAATTATATTGTATTTAAAAAAATCGTAAATTATATTGCTTTACTGATCTAGCCAGTCATTATGCAAAAGGTGTATTTTTTAAACAAAGCTTTTAAAAAATTCAATATTTCACCTTTCCCAGGATTTTAACATTTACTTACATTTTAACTCGAAATTAAAAATAACCTTTATTTAGTGCACAATAATGCACTAAGTACATTTTAATGCTATCCACTTTGTAACCTAAAGTAAGCTAAAAATGTCAACTAACAGACGCCTACAGTTAAACAGTATTTTATGTAACTATGGTGTCCCTTAACTTGTTTGAGGTTTTTATTGTGTGTCTGCCATACGTATGTGATCCACATCAATTTTGAAGTTAAATCCTTAAGAGTTACAAAATATCTGTATCTATTATATAAACATAATGCATGTTGACACAACATTATTAATCCAATACTCCAAAAAGTATAATATACTTATACTGTTTTGAATTCAATCACTTTATTATAATCCAAAATGATCTATTTTAGATGCACTCAAAAACTTATCTCTAATATTGCTCCAATTGATTTTATGAATGAAAACTAATAAAACGCAATTTCAAAATAACACAATATAAAATCTAACAAATACTTTACATTCGAACCTCAAATCCAATCGTATATGGTAAACTATCATTTGTGCAGAGCAAAGATTTTAAAATGAAATATACATTATACAGATTTACAAGTTTAGATACATATTATGTATTTGTGTATTGTGGATACAAAATGTTTCTATCAAAAAAGTTCAGAACGTGTGTACAAAAAAGTAAGTGTATTTTACACTCTTCGGCTTTCAAGAGAATCTTTACGCCATAGATAAATTTTCATTTTCTTTATTTTTTCATTTCTTCAATTGCTTCAAGTGAATTAATGGTTGAATGGCTGGTTGACTACAAGAGATGGTATAAAGGTAGGAAACCAAATAATGCAAAATAACAGTAAAAACAATAATCTGCAAATAAAAAAAATATATTTTGAGCTGTAAAATCTTTGGAATTGTAAATCTAATGGTTGGCTTAGTATTTGCTGGTATGTAGCAATAGTAGAATACAAACAGAAAACACACACAATGCATGCACTTATATATGGGTACAACAGTAATAATGGAAAATTATTGACGTATACTTAGTTGTACATGTGTATAGTAGAGACCTTTGAATACAGGTAAACATTTTATCCATGAGCATATCCTATGCAACGCACTTCAGAAAGGTATGGAAATAATTTGCCGCTTAAGTTGTAATTTAAGATTTTCTTTAAGAGGTTGTTTTATTAATTTTTGCTTTTTAGGTATAGGAAGTATAAAGAAGAAAAAGTTCATCAGAGGAAAATAATGAACGACGCCAGGAAAAAATATTCTCACTAAGAAAAAAAAATATGTCTTCTTTTTCCTTTATACATAACGTACTTCAGTTTGCACTCTACTTATATTGTTACTAAAATTTTGTCTTATTTTAATGGTTAATATATAATGTATGTACATATGTATATGCCTATGATAATTTGGTTGTGTGATTGAAGGAAAAGCAAATTAGAGAAAGCCATAGTAAAAACAAACCATATGCAAAGGTGAAATAAAATACTTTTAAACACGTGATAATATAAAGTTTACTAAACTCTTCCTTTGATAAACCCCAGTACACAATTTGTGATTTTTAAGGTAACCACATATGTGTAAGATATGCAGATGTTTGTCAAAAAAACACATAAAACAGCACAATAAAAATGAGTAGTCAATATAGGACAAATTTTTTAAATTCGAATTTGACATTGACGATACCATGTTTCAATAATACTAAAAACATGTTGAATTCAGCTCTACATGATAAGAAAATTTTAACTTACCCTTTAGTTTAGCAAAACGCAAAATCCGCCTTGCCCAGCTTTCGCAAATGGACCATCGAGAGGTACAGTGTCTCGTGAGTAGACCCCCTAGTAGCCACAAATCTGGAAGACCAAGAAAGAAATTTTTTGGAGTGAGGTAGGCCCGGGCAATTATTCCAACGATTGACCCTAACCCGTTCCTCCCAATCATTCAGGCCGTGCAGGACAATAAAAAATATTTGTTTTCTATATACGCAACTTAAACTTTTTGGAAAAAAAATTTGTGTTGGAAAAAATTTTGATACAATATTGTAGAGCATAAACTTGTAATTACGATCACGATATCATTTTCATATTTAAATAAAACAAAAATAATGTGAAAAATTACAGAAAAATTCGTTTACAATTACTTAATTATTAACATAATAATCGCCGGTACAGTTATGGTGTAGTGATTAACTTATCACATAAACATGATCCGTTAATTAGACAAAATATTTAAAATTTATAACTTACAACAGCTCAAAAAAGGGTGAATAAACTCGTTTATGCAGACACGTTCACAATTTTTGTTGTTAATTTACACATTAATTATTACAAAATGGTTAATACTTAGTATATTTTTGGTTCTCGTATACATTTTTGTAAAGAAATCAAGAAATAAAAAAAAAATGTTTTTTTTTTTTTGATTCATACGAGTCACCATAGTTTTCTTAAATGAAATAAAACAATTTAATTACGCGTTAGGCTGATTGAAGTTGGAATGATTTTTCAAAAGTTGAAAATATTAAAATGAGTACGGAAATTTTTTTAATGTTTCCAAATTAGAGGTTTTCTCATATTTAAAATGTGAATCAGTTGTAGGCCTTTTTAAACGTATAGATTTTTTTTTATTTACAGGTTATAAGCTTTTAAAATAATATATTCTGATTACTGTAATTCTTATATTTTCAAAAATTAGTTTTTAAAACATTAAAACCTGGAATAATATACTTATAACCTAGCATTTTAAAATGATTTTGTGTCTACAATAAAATTTAATCTCTAACATTTGAGGAATATTTTTAAAATAACTGAATTATGATGAATTTCTTTTCCATTACATTCTTATGTAATTACATTTAAATTTAAGAAAAACAAGAGTGTAGACTACTAAGAGTGTAGACCAAGAATCTGGCCTAAAAATGCGTGGTGATAAATTGTTAAAAGTAAAGGCGCTTCCTGAACAATAAAAAAAAATACGACAATGAATAAAATTAAATGATCAATTGAAAAAAAAATTAATTTTGAGCATCCTACAGAATTTGACTCATACCAAGATCACGGTAAGTTGAAACATTTATTTTTTCTTTGTCGCAAAAATTGCAGTGTATTTCAAGGAAAATTTACTTAATAATTTTTTATAAAAATTATTATTGTAGGTTTTTTTATTATTTTAATTAGAGGTGTATAAAATAAAATACGTTTTTCATACAAGAATATAATACACTCGTACAATGGAAACTTTATACTTTAAAGAAATAAGCTTAAAGTGTAAATTAATATTCAAAAAGAAAGAAATCTAATAAATAAGACACTCATATGCTTTTGTTTTTTTTTTATAATAAATGTAATAGTACTTGTACTCGTATACTTAAATATTTTCGACTTGTTAATTACAATACATGTATAGCAATTGCAATCATCTATTATTAGTACGTAACGTAACATGAAGCATTATAAGATCTTATAAAATTCGTTCTATAAAATTATAAGTTATTTTTCGTATTTTGTATATTTATATTAATATTTATAAAATAGTTATAAAATGCGGTTTTCTATGAATAAATCGACATTATTTTTATTACAGTCATTAATTGTAAGTTGGAAATATAATTACATGTGTATATTCAATATAATAAAGATTTATTACCAAACAATATGGGTTTTCAATAGCAATTTTAATATGAAAATTTATAAAAAAATAAAACTTTTGAGGTTTTGAGGGAATATTTTCTATATAATATTTCAATTACATATACAAATCAAAAAAATATAATTATATTACAACGTTTATTTTAATGAAATGTTTAAGTTCAATCGAGATGATCATGATGATGTAAACTTGCAATTGACTATACAAAAAAAAATTTATAAAACAGTAATTTTCTTACCCGATACGATTGATCGTTCTTAGGGTGCGAGCATTTTTTATTAAAAACATTTATCGCAATCTGAAACATAACTCTGTATATACATACAATATATATATATATATGTATATACACATATATATATAAATATATATATATATATATGCACATGTAAAAATAAAATTAAAACTTTTTGCGACCGCACTAAAATTCGAACACAATTATCGGAAGGGTCTCGGAAGGGAACATTAAGTTCTAGATCTCGTCGATACAAACATTCTAGAGCTAGTAAATTCCACTTGATCTGAAATATTTATTTTATTTTATATATAATTCTGAGAAGTTTTTATGACCATTGAATCCTAATTTAAAAAGTTTATTTCAAATGGGTATATAAATTTATTCGCATCCTTCGTGCAATCGCAATATTTTTAAAATTTCTTTTTCCATTATAATTTTGATTAAGTTTTTATGTTTCAGTTGCATTGAAATGTGAATGAATGAAACATTGCATTTTCAAGTCATTGCTAATGGCCTTTCATCAAGTAAAAGTTAATAATATTTCAAACTTGTTATATGTTCTAAAAGAAACTTAAAAGTTACGATTGGCATTTTATAACAAATCAATTATGAAAATTAAATTAGAAAAAATCATCAAATTTCGGAAATTTGTAAGAAAAATTGTATGAAAATTTTTTAAAAGTTTTTATAATGAATATTAAAAGTAAAGAAAGAAAAAGCAATTATTTTATTGAAAATTGGATTTTCTTTAAAAACTTTTTTTTTATTAAAAATTTTATTTCAAATTTGAAAAATAGTAAAACTGTTTTCATTTGTAGAACCTTAGGCAATCTTGGCTTATATTTTATTTAGACTTTGCTCGTTAACGTATGTACATAGATGAAGTCTAAAAGTTAGCAAGCTTTTTTTAAATTAAAGGTTCGTATCCTTCAAAAACCTTCTATTATGAATCAAGAAACTGAGAGTCGTAGGTGAGTGCATATACTTCTATTCTACTTTTCGTGAATGTCTTTGTAATACAAAATTTTAAACAAGAAATATCATTTATTTAAGTCATAGAATTTTTATTAAATATTAAATATTTAATTGTAGTCGAGTTTATTATTGTAATCTTATATTTCTACAGAAAGAAATTTTGAAACATCTTCATGGTTTTTAACTTCGTATAAAAAAATAATTCAAAATGTCGAAATGTACCTACAAGATACAAAAGAAGAGTCCACAATAAAATAATGCACTTAGTGTTAACAATACCCCAGTTTCTATTTATTGTTGTACACATTGTAATAAAAAGAATTTGTTAACCAATTCATCAAAATCTTTTGTGTACCTATAAAAATAAATGTATAATGTTATTCATCTGTATGCTATATTAAAGCACATACACACGTACCCACAATATATTGAGTAAACAATACCGTTATTTATATTCATAACTAAACACAGTTCTTATAAAGTTGAATCGAAACGGATTATTCAGATCTATGCTGGTACTTTACTTCTAAGTTTATTGCACAATTTAAAAGTTATATACCGCACACTCTGTTTTGAAAACTGATCCTTATAATAAGTTTCTCTTATACTTAATAATTTTAAATATATTGCACATGTGTACTACGAGTATTCATTGAATTTTGCTGTTAGCAAAACAACATTAAAAGTGTCAAACGTTTGGCATTTATACTACTAAGATTGCTGAGTTTCAAAAAAGATATTTATATAGTACAAAACACAAATTATTTTCGCCCATGCAGTCTTTTGTCCTTCCTTCTGTCATTCGTCTGTTTGTTCTTTCTATTGGCCCTTTGCTAGCTTGTTAATCGACCTGCTTATTTATCTGTTCATCCCCAAAAAAATCTTTAGTAAGAGGGCCAAAATTCTCAGCAAATTTGGTTTAAATTAGAATATTATGACTGCTGCGTATACAATTTCAAAAACAATTTAATCCTACTTTGGCAGTTATGTATATTTCATTGATCGACTCTCATCTCTCTAATAATGAGATAAAATTTTTTGTGTGATAATTTCCATCAGCAAATACATACATTATTTTCATTCAGCTTGTTTTATTAGCTAGAAGACTATTTCATCACATTATTAAATTGGGTAGTATATACATTTAAATGTATAAAATTTTAAAATACATACGATTCCACTCTAACAATCATCTTTACCTTGCATATTAAATACTTTAACTTAAAGTTTTAAATCAATTTTATAGAAATCGATTGCATTCCTAAAGAATTTAAACAATAAGAGAAAAAAAAATTAAAATATGAATTCAAATTTCCTCTATTCATTCGTTTTCAATTCAATCTATTGCACTAATTTGTTCTTCAACAAAATGATTTCTTAATAATCTGGTTGTAAAAAATTCAAAAAGCAAATGTGAATAGCACAAAAACAAGAAAGCAAATAAAATAAAAATTAAAAGAATTTTCCTACTTTAATGAAAGAATATTCTTTTTCTTTTTTCCATTCTTTTCTTTTCTCTGAAAGAGAATTTCTCATCGTAAATAAAAAAGACAAAAATAAGGACTCTTCCGGTAAAAATTCTTGCATTTTTTTTCTTCTTGTACTTACAATGTTGTATTGAATATAAAAGGTATAGAAAATTCTATAAAGTTTTCGTAAATTTAAATAATGAAAGAAAACAAAGTTAAAAAAAGAAAAATACAGCGATTTCGTCTCCTAAGACTCAATATTTTTCTTTTCTATTTAGTTTCTTAAGAAAATGCTAAATAGAAATATTTTGAGTTGGATATCAATTTCTAAAACGCGATGCCAAGTTACGCTTTTCTCTAAAAGTTTGTACATTTTTCGTTGAATAAAAGTTTTTAAAAAATTTCAATTAAGCATAGGAAACTTTAAAGATTATTATAGGATTATTTAAAGATCAGAAAAGATAAATTTTCCAGCTATAACGTAACTTGCATCAACATGGATGTAGCTTCATAAATAAAAAGTTTATTATAAACAGAACGGCAATTTTGTTGCTATCTTCATTTCTCTACTTAGATCGAATTTTTTTCTTTAAGGCGTCAAAATCGAATTGGACTTTGAAGCATATGTTTACAGAACATATTTGAAGTAGAACAAACAATATATAAGAATGTAGATACCTATTCGCATTTTATAATTAACGCAGACAAAAATGTTTTCATTTTTGTATATTCCACAAAATATTTTTGGATTTTTATAAAAATTTCAAAGATTACAATTGCAGAATCATAGAATTTTTCAATGCGTTCATATGCACAAAACAGTTTATTAAACAAATGAAAATATTTTCAATACTTTAAATAAGTTAATTAACTACAATATGGCAAGAAATAACCATAAAAAAATAATATGAGATCTTCCATGTAGCTTTATTGTTTAAAGTAAAATTTATTAAGCTTTAACGGCTTGATATGTCTACATAAGTTCAAAATATTTTATTTTTTAAGAAGGTATCATATGTACATATAAGTTGACATACGGATACTGTGATTACGAACAAGTCATTTAGGTCAAGAATAAATCACAATAGTAAAAAAAATATAAATGACCCGATTTTAAAATAAACAATGAAATAGATTTTGCTTACATAGAATAAAAATTATAGAAAAAAAAATCCTATGAATTTCATCAAATTTTCAATATTAAAACTATGACATATTAAATATACGACATAATAAAAGTAGCATGATACTTTTATTTTTATTGCTTCTGATGAATGTGAAAAAAAAAATTAAATATAATTTTCTGACATTAAACGACATGTGACGCCATGTTATCAAAGAAAATAAATTTTGCATATTGACTTGCACTAGTTTTTTTCGCCCACATAATTAATTTGGTTGCCGTTTATACAATGGTTAATGGATGCATTAAAAAAGTTTAAGTTCATTTGCCACAATTGAAATTCATGTTAAAAAATTTCTCAAATTTAATTTTATTTGTAAATTTTTTTAATTTTTGAATCTTAATTCATCACTTGCGTTTGTCAGATTTGATGACTGTCGAAAATTATACATACATACATAATGTAAGTCCATTTTGCAATGTGTACAGAGTAAATCAAATTATAAAAGAAGACATTTTTTAAATTTGAAATAGAGAAGAAAATATTTCCTTATTAAAATTCAAAATTTTTCCAAATATTTGAGTTTGTAAGTAAGTCGATTAACACGAACATTAAAAATGTAAACAACAATTATATATATTTTTAATTTTTGCAATATAAACCACTTAGAATAGGTTTTGTCTCTTAATATAGGTGCAATAGTTTATTTTGAATAAAAGAATGTTTCTTTACCAAAAATTTAGATATAGAACATCAATTTTCAACAAATAATGTGGAAATGTTAATTATAATTAATTTTAGTACTTAAAAAGAATTGCCAGCGCTTTTCAAAAAGTAAAATAAGTTTAACTCCTAACATAAAAGAAGCTGATTAAAGAGTATCATCGGACTTCTTTTTAAAGCAATTTTTAAACTTTCAAATTTTAGAGCAAGATTTATGCAAATTTTAAAATAAACTATCCGCCTATAAAATCAGCTAATTTTCACGGAACTTTTTCTTTGAAACTTTATCAATATAAATGTATAATAAGCATGCATATACCAAAAACTAAAAAGTTCATTGTTTGCAGTGAAAATGCAGTAAAAAGTTTCAAATAAATGGAAAAAAATATTGTTTAACAACAAAAATAAGATTAAAAAGTTTCGCTGTTAAATTCTTTTTCAAAGTAATGCAATTTTAAAGCAATTGTTGGAACGGATACTTTGCAATTAAGTTTTTATCTTTTTTTTCCATTTACGTTTTTCTTATTCAGAATTTTTTATTTGTATTTTTGAATTTTTCTTTTAAAAGTTTTAGTTGGATTATTGAGATACATTGTTTTCAAAACACCATTTTTATCTTAAAACGAAAAAAATGTTAGTGAAAATGTAATTTGTAGCCCATTTTATCAACTATTTTTAAGATAAAGACGGCAATTCAATACGTTGGAAAAGAATACTAGAAGGGTGATCTTGTTAAGATTTTATTTAATGAGTACCAAATGTCTCAGTAATTTGATTAAATTTAACTGCAATTTTAGCAGAAAATGTTCAAAAAATATTCGATTTATATGGTTAAATTTATATTATATGGATACATAATGGAATTCAAAAAATATAACTGATAGTAAGAAAATTTCTAAAAAAATTTTAAATTTCTACGATTCTAATTTGAAAAAATTCGCTATAGTCGACTTTATTTAACCTTCTTAACATCCACATTTCGCGCATTAGACTTTTGAATTTTTAGTAAAAGTTATAATTTTGGGATTTAAAGACACTAGATCTTTTAAATATTTCTTTAAACCTGAATCAACATTCGATCTCTGCTATCCCTCTTCCCAAAAATTTATTTATTGTTACAGCATATGTAATACTCGTACACATATAAATTCACTACAAGCATATTTAAAAAAGTTATTTATTTGTTACATAACTTTTAATTTCTAATTGATATTCGCAAATCACACGGTAATTTAACAAAAACAATAATGAAGGAAATCACAAACAATTTGAGTAAAACAGAAAATAAATGGTAGCTAAAACATGGAAACATCATTGGAAAATTTTTTATAATCAGATAATTATCAAAATGATGTAATAGGGCAAATTATTCAAATGACAATAAGTATAACTCAAAAAAATGTAGAACAAATAGAAAAAAAAAAGCAAAAAAGTTAATAAAATAAATAAAAGGGAAATCATTTAAAATGAAAATTATTTTTGCATTACGAAGTTTTTTGAATAACAAAACATAAATAAATTTAGTTATACACATAGACTATGACTAATGTACATATCTATATATTTTATAATTGTCTTATAATTATTATAATTACGTTGAATGTTCTTTTGTAAATTTGAATACCATTTTGATATGTTAAGGCTTTTCTGATATACGAACCGTTATAGTTCGTATATCAGAAAAACATCGAAGCATCATTCCCTCACTCTTAAATTGAAACAGTATTAAAACAGTATTTCTTTGCACAAAATTCAGCTTATTTCTTGCTGAATTGGTCAGTAATACAATATTATTGGAATTTTAAAACCATGGATTGTTGAAAAAGTTATAAACACGAATTTTGTACATTTCGTATTCTGTATTGGAGTAAAATTATATTTTTAAATTATTGAATTGAATTTTGAAACTGTAATACTGTAATAAGGAACTCAAAAACGTATTCATATAATATATTGTACTCCTTTTTTTAATTTTCACACTCCAGTTTTATATTTTTTTAAACGTTATTTTAAATTTAATTTAAAGTCTATATTAAAAGTTTAAGATTTTCCAATTAGAAGTTTTTAAGAACCTGGCACTTAAAAAAAATAAAGCCAACAAAGAAAGTCAATAAAACTAAATTAAAATTTTCAATTCAAATTTTTTTCTATTAGAAGTACGTATATTTGCACATGATGTTTAATAAAATTTTTATTTACTACAAAAAATACGTTTCATGCTTAAATAAAAAATAATTTACTTGTATTGTTACCTTGTTACTAATTGAAACTTTATGGTTCTCTTTACAGAAATAAAGACGAGTCTCTGGAGTAACAATTTATAATTTTAAAAAACTTTTTTTCAAAATTTTACTGGAAAACTTAAAACGATAAGAAATCAGCTAAACAATAGAAAGAGTTGCACCTAATGCAATCAAATCAAAATTATTTACATAATAATAAAAATAACATTATAGAAGTTAAAAACAGCCATCACCATTTCGTCGATTGCGATTAAACGAAGGCCGACGCTGCCGCAGACGCCAGCGAGCGCCCCCCAAGTATTGTCACCAAAACGTCAGTGTGCCGTATCTGTTGTACCAACACATCAATTTAATTCACCATCAGCTGCAGCTGCCGCTGCAACTGCAGCCGCTGTCGCCTTAACAAAAGTTAACGGTGGTTTACCAAATCCAATAACACATTTTGCAACACCAAATTTACCAACCCCAACACCTACCCTTATCCACCCCCATCATCCCACACATCAATTGCATCATCGTGCACCACCAGCTCATTTAACAAATCCTCATAATCAATTAGCCGCAGCAGCTGCTGCCGCTGCCGCCGCCGCCGCCGCAGCTGTAAATATACCACATCATCGTCATCCCAATATTGGTGTACCTCAAATACATCCAAGTTTACATGCTCAATTACATCACCCACAACATAATAATTTAGGGCAGTTGCATACACAACAGCAAATACATACGCATTTGTTACAACAACATCAACAACAGCATACACAACAGCAAAAAGATCCTCGAGTGTATAAAGCGGTTGTTAGTGCCCATCAACAATTATTAGCTCATCAACAAACACATTTACAACAGCAAACACAGTCTTTACAACATCAATCTCAAGTACAATCAATTGCTACAAGTTCAGGAGCACCAGTTGTCTATACATCTCCAGCAATATCAAATAGTAACAATAATATTGTTACGGGACAAGATATTAAACTTGAAAGTACTGCAACAACCACATCAACAATTGCATCAACTAATTCAGCAGTAAATACTACAACTTGTGCTGCCGCTGCAGTTACCTCTGAGACTATAGATTCATCAGTGGTCTCAACAGCATCTTCACCATCAAATTTAACTAACAGCACTATTGTAACAACAAGCAGCAGCGGTATTGATAATAACAATAACAATTCGTCAATAATTACTGTTGCAAGCTCGACCAATTTAATAAATTCAAATAACGATTTAATCAACGGAAATATTAACGGTACAACTATTAACAAAAGTCCACATAATTTAAATAATTTAAACGTGAACAGTACAAATATTAATACAAGTATAAATAACACAATTACCAGTACATCACTTATTAATAATAATAATAATAACAATAATAATATCAAGATGGATAATCAAATGGTTTTAGCACCACATGGATTGTCACAAAGTACGGATTCTGTAAATACGGCTAGTAATGAAGAAGAGGTAAGTTCAAATTCTTCTGGTTCAGTTTCAATTAAATATCAATTTTTATCGATTTTTTAAATAAGTTTTGCGAATAAGTACATTTTGCAAACATTTATAAATTCTAACGTGTGAAAATAAAATTTCTAAACTGTTATGGTGTATTTGTCAATTTCGTACAAAAATTACATATTTTTCTCGGAGCTATCCGTTGTCAACATGTATTCTACTTAACATTTTCCGAGTTCAACTAAACAATAAGATTAATTTAATTATTTTAGTACGGAACTATAATTTTGTTTTCATTTATATTCTTTAATATTAATAGAATTTTTTTCAAAATTACCAATTAGTGGAAACAATTTTAACAATGTGCAATAACCCTTCCAGTTCATAAATTATTGCAGAACTACTACATAAAGCATGCAAAAATAACTTTTATTGAAAATGGTTCATGTTGTATTCAATTATGAATGTAGGTACTGTACACATTATGTACATTACATACACATATTGCCATATAAATTGACAATTTATTTTAAAATTAAGCAATCACATAATTTTATTGTTCTAAATTTTTATTTTATAAAGTAGTGAAGTACCGTCATATTTCAATATGCAATATTCTCCGGTAATTTTTAAAAGGATAAAAGGAATAAAAAAGTAATAATAATAATCAAGGAGGCAACGAACACACAAACAAATAAAATAAAGAAAAGAAAATAATATCGTTAAAATAAAAAAGTTATATGAAGCGTTTGTGCTTCATGACATCACATACTTGAACAAAAACAATAATAATAACGATATCCTGAAAAATACCGTTCATATAATAAGTAGTATAAGTACATATTATGTGTATGGTACCAATGCTTGCAGCATTCCATGAATTATTCCATTGTATTCAGCATCAGTAACATGTGTAACATCGAACAAAATGAAATTTTTGCATTAAATGAAAAAACAGTATTAGTTTATAAGGCACTTAGTCAGATATTTTTCGTTTAACAACGAGAATAAAAATATTCAAGCAAGAAAATTTGAAACATTTTAAATATTTGAGATTTAAAATCGTGCAAGTACTCTCTCATAATTGCTACATTTGTGACCTTGAATGACAATAAATTTTATATATTTATCTCTTTGATCAAAACTCTACATCAGATTTTTTTCAATTTAATGTGAAAAATGTTTTTTCTGCAAATTGCTGTACATAAAGACAAAAGTGGGTTCGATTTCATCTTTAAACTGCAAGTTTGTGAACATGGAATATATCTATTTAACTTTTTTGAGAAAAACATATAAAAAAGTCAAACTTTAAAGAAACATAAGCATAAAAATCTAAAAAACTTCAGCTTATTACCAAACATTGAATATTACTTCTGGCTTACAGCTTGCATTATCAAACATTCTTCATATTTTTTGTCTTATTTCATTAAAGCGTGATTTTTAAACATAATTGAATTTGGTTTCATGGGATACAAAACACTGTTCAATTTTCATCGAACATAATGCTCGAAAAATTGTAGGATGACCAAATTTTTAAGAGAAATCTGTTCAACTAAAATCTGTTCGACTGATCTGTTTTAATAGTCAATCTTGGGTTCAATTAATATTTATGCAGCATTTAAATTTTAAACAACTTCTAATGAGTGATCAGTTTTTTGCTCTGTAAATTTTATACAGAGCACTGTAGTATGCAAAAACAAATTTAAAAAAAAAACGAAAGGAAATAAATTAATCACATAATTTTCAGTTCTTATAAAAATTTTCTCAATTCCTTCCAATGCATACTATGCATGATGTGGGATGCAGTATGAAGTATGAACGAGCGAGTAAATGTAAATAGTATGAATACTGGTTGGTTGACTTTGAATATAATTTTAACAAGTATACATGTTCACAATGCAACTTATATCCATACATAATATTATGTATATTATATTTTTTTTATAGCAACACAAGCATCTACATACATGCATTTATTTTTATTGTTTAAAATAATCTTCTGGTTACAACAATTTTTAAGGATAACAATCACTTTATTTGTTATATTATGTATGTACGTATGTATTGTTATAGACGTACATATATGCAAGTGTATGCATTCGTAATAATAATGACAATAATGAATTGTGGGCAATTTATTTTATGCAAGATTGTGTATTATATTAATCGAGGAATAAGTATATCTGTATCGAGGAATAAGTAGCATCAAAATAAAATTTAATATTGTTCCAAATCCAATACTATAAATAAATAAGAAAAAAAAGAAGGACGATAAAGAATCAGCAATTTTATGATTTATAAATAAGAGAAAATGTAAATAAAACAAAACTGCTCGAGGCGCACGATATAATCATTATCGTATCCGTTTTCATATTAAAGTGATTTTAAGTACTGTAAAGTGTGAATATTTTTTTGTTTTATTTATATTATATAGGGAAAATATTGAATTGGGATTCTGATTTTATTGAAAACTTTAATGTTTCAATAGTTAAACAAATAAAATAAATGTAATTCTAAACATAATGCATGCATACGTATTATTTATTTAAAGGAATATTAATAAATACTTCCATACTGGTTTCCTAATATCAAGGGGAATACATTCGTTCAGTTTTCCTATACAATTAGTTTTAATTATTAATATTGTAATGACATGCTCGCTGAAATTGTTTATTGTTTATTTCATGTTTAACTCAAACATTTTGCAAAATATTGCATACATTTAATTTTCATCTTATGTCTTTTAATCTTATTTACAATGAAAACTTACAATAAGATCTGTAATTATACATATCACAAATTATTAAATTAGTTCTATTTATTATGCAGGTACAATTATGCATATATTACAATCATTAACTATAATTAACAAATTATAATTTAGTTACAACTATAAAGAACAAAAAGAAAATGAGAGATCTAACGTATGGTACTGATACATATTCAAATGTAAAAGAAAAAGAGTAAAAAGAGCGTAACCTAGTTGTAAAGTCTATAAAGGCGCTTTTTTAAAGTATTCTTCGTTAGTGTAAAATCTAAATTGTCTTCATATATATTCCCAAGACGCAGTATTCTGTTTACCGTTTCGTGTATACCATAATTAGCTCTATGAAAGGGTACTACAAAAATCTCATAATAGGCGAGCGAGATCTCATAATAGTGTCAAAGGTCAGAATGTCGGGTGATATGAAGTTCGATTTCAAAATATGGAAACTAAACGTAACATTCTCGATTTCTCGTATGCCAATGCGCTTTAATCTACATTCACAAGGGGGGAAGCTTAGGAGATTTTACCAGAGAAAGCGACGCAAAGCGAATCTCAAGAAATTTTTTTGAAAAGTCTCAATTCAATTTCTATGAACATCGTAAATTGAGGACCAAACCTGAAATGCGTGTTCAAGATGTGGCCGAAAAACACAAGACTAAAGAGATTTCTATGTATAGAGATTTCAAATAACGTAATTATTTCGAAAACGTCTAAATTTGAAAATAACATCTGATACATGTTCATTTAATTTTTATTAGCAAATAATAATGTAATATTAAATTAAGTGTTGTTATTAATAAAATATGATCTCAGATAGTATTATAAAAATCATAGATTCATTAAAAAATCCAAAACAAATCTAAATTTCTTATTGAAATGTTATAGGCTGTAAGCCACAAAACAATAATTTTCAATTATAGCGTATCCTTACTCGTACCTACAAAATATTAAAATTAATTCACAAATTTATTTAAATTTGCTTGCTAGAAATTTTGCTTTTAATTATTCTTAAAATACAATTATTACGATTTAACTGTGTAAATGAAAAATCACATTTCTCTTTGAAACTTTTATATTTTACATTTATTTTGTTTTTCGTGCAGTTTTTAAAAATATCCTTGATTGAAGAAAGTCTAATTTAATGAAACGAATGTTATATTTTAAAATTCGTAATATAGAAAATCCAGAAGAAAAAAAAGAAGTATAACAGAAGACCGTAGGAAGAAAAAAAACTTGTAAAAAATCAAGTTTTCTCGTCTTTTTTCCCGCTTTCCCCCCGTTTCTGTGGTGTTATATCAATTTGGAATTTGTGGCGACAGACCTCAAACTAAATATTAAAAAGGAAGTCAAAACGAAAAGAAACATGAAAATTTTTAACAATATTTTCTTTTCAGCTTTTTTATTTTTGATTTTTATATTTTTTCTGTCACGGAAATTAGGCAAGGAAATGTTGAATAATTCCCCCAACTTGTTTACATTATGTTAAACTTTACATCTATTCAATTTTATAGAGAAAAAAGGAATGAATCTGGGTTTAAGAAAATTCATTGGAAAATATTAGAATTCGAAATCGGTTTAACTTACAATTTTGTGAAAATGTAAAATCATTTTCGACATTAAATCTTTTATTAAAAAATTAAGAGACTAGCAAAATTATACATTTTATAATTATGTATGTATCTATAAGTCAAAACTGGCCAACTCTCAATTAATTCCACTCATTAGTTTAACGAGCAGTTTGATTATACCGAATCAATGTCAAAAACCATAATCATAGCAATTATATATAAATTTTACTGTGAACTGATAAAATGTCAAATTTAGACAATAAGCATATTCGTTGACGTTGAATTATTACTGATTATTGCAAATATTTGCCAAAATTAGATACGTTTATTTACTTTCTCTTAATCTACACAATAAGAAAAGATAAGGATAAACATAAATATGCCCACATTCCTTAACATTTCCCAACAATTCCGAAAGTTTTCCTTTGTAAAATTTTAACCAAATTTTCTCACCCTGTTTTTTTCTGTTTTCATCACCACCTTTTTCTCATTTCCAAAATTTTTTTATCTATTTTTACGCCTTATCTTTTCGGTAAGTTATGTTTTCCAGCTTTTGATCTTCTGACATACGAAATCGAAATGAAGAAAAAAAGAAAATCGAAAACTTTTGCAAAAAGAAAACTTTTCAGCAGAACAGAAACGAAAATTTTGTTTGGAAAAGTTTTTGTGGTAAAAAA